GTGGCAGCCAGCACAGCTGTTTTTGGAGAGTAAAGGGACCTCGAAGTGCAGCTTGCCGTATGCGTATCAGCGTGCAGGTGCGCGACTGTGCCGCGGGATGGCGCCAGGCCGCCGCTCTCGGCTCGCGTGCCCTGTGCGCAGACTGATTGTGTGTGTGGCACTGCGCTTGCGGCCGCTGTTGTTATCAGCGAGCGGCCGGAGCGTCGGGTGCTCCTCTCGCCTCATTTGCATAAGTTGATCCCAACGCTGATTACAGGGGGCACCTCCTCCCTCCCCACTCTGCCCTCTTTTTTTGCATCTGCACAAAAGCGGCGTGCTCTGTTTCACCATCGTTGTTTGCTTGCTTCATCCCTCTTCATCATCAGCGCATCAACATCAACAAGAATCTCTGTTTGGCCGGATTGGCATCCGAGCAGCGCATCGCTTCGGTATCGCGCTCACCTGGGGGTGCTGATGATTCGCAGTGCGCGGTGTAGGGGATCTGTAGGGGCGGGGGGCGCTTCCTAGAGTTGTCGTGGCTGGTTGCGTTCGAATCACCAGTAACCGCTATCATGTGTGTTCATCCCCTTCCATTAAGCACATGGAGGATATGCGGCCGTACCGTCGTTGCTGCTGCTGCTGATTGCATCTGATAACGCCGACGAATGCGTTTTTGGACGTTGCTCCGAGTGTAATACTATATGCACAGATGAGGCCGAATGCGGCTCGTTTGCAACTATTAATCAGAGGAATGCTTGTGCATGCGCGCACAAGCTGCCGTGACGTGGCCAGTTGAATGCGCGATCCTGAGCATCACAGTCATCCATCCGTCTGCGAGCTGAGGTGGACCGCACTCCTCCATCGCCGTTTTTCCAGAGTTGTTCAAGTTCACTTTGTACCTGTACACCTGCTCCTTTCACTTCACTGCTTACGCCCGTTCAGGGCTTAGGATCGTCTCTTCTCTCATGATGTCTTTGCTAAAAAGGTTAGTTTTGCTTTTATGCTCACTGAGTCATTACATGCCACAACAAAATTCGTTGTCTCAAAATATGGTTTGAGAGGATGAGCGTCGCTTTACTCAAACACTGAAAGAGGGCTAATACTGATGGAGCTTCTGCTTGTACAGAGTCTCGCGCTCTGCAGCTGGGGGCAGGCGAATCTCTTTAGCAGCAAATTCGTTCCTGGTAGTCGCCAGAATACTTGTATTCCGCAAATCGCATATTTTATCGACCGAAGCCCGGGCATCATTTTTGACGGAAGTTGTTTTATCACGAATATGTTTAATAAAGGGATTCAAAAAAGTGGACTTTCTGGTATCTCTTCTGAAATCTAACTTTTTTAATCTGCACGGTTTGTTTTCTCAGTTCATAATGCCTAAGCTTAGCGCA